AAAGCTTTAAAAACAATTGAAATATGTAAGTCTTTTAATCTTTTCGTTTGATATGTAATTTTTTCTGATAAGTTATGTACCCCTGTAATTGTGTCTTTTTCTTTCCATTTATTTGTTCTATATTGTGACTTTTCTTCTTTGCTTATAATGTCTTCAATAAAAAAGTTACAAAAATAGAAACGCTTGCGTTAACTTCAAGCATAACAATTACAAAGACGGACTCCATCGTGTTTCTGCAAATGTTTCTCCTTTATTATGGTCAGAAAAGATGTTTAGAACGCATCTAAACCCGCCCCAGCTCCCGACGTAAGCATGACGTAGTAAAAGAGCGTTCTAGTCCAGCAAAGAGTTGGTGCCGCTTTGGAACCAATTGTCCTGGCCGAGAACCGGTTCTTTGGCTGTCGAAACACAAAGAACTGGTTCGCGCGCAGGCACCGGCTCCAAACCGGCTCTCAAAATGCTTTGGTGGAAAAGGGGCTAATGAGGGCCCGGGCGCCCTTGTGTGTCATATTCCGTCGAAATTGGTGTGGCTTATCCCTATATAAGCCGAGATCAGATAGGGTGTTCTTTGATTTTTCCATCTCGTCAGTGAAGGCATCGCTTCACGTCGTAATCGTCTATATTCGTCATTCAAAAAGAGAAACCAACGCTGGTGGCTGCAGATACACACTGTAAACAAAGCAGCGCATGCTTACCGTTCTGAATATCAATCCTGCCAAACACCTTTTCTTTATTCCACTACTCTCATGTTAATATTCACCAAGGAACACTCGGGTAATCTGACGTAACATTAGAACAGCCTTCTATCTGGGCTGTTTTAACTTTTTTGCTCGCTGTTTTGCTATTATTCTCGTGCAGTGCACTGACTCGTTCACTAAGCTGAACAGCGAATCGGCCGAAAAAAGCCGACAGTGACCAATTTCAGCCGATGGTACGGAACACACTGAGAAAACTTAGTCGGCCGATGCACAAAAACTGTGTTCCAAGCTTAATTTACAGAGAGAGTGATTGATCCTTTTCATCGAACTTCTCTTTACATCAGTCCTTCCTTTGGATTTGATGCTCCTTGCAGCTGAGAAAAGCCAGCTTCCATTGAAAATGAGTGACTTCATGCCGCTTTGGAAGCTCAAGTTGGCGGCGGTGTGAACGTACAGTTAGAGGTAGATGCTGTGAAATGATTCAGATTAACAGATTATACATTTGGCACGAAGAGTAGCAGTTCAACAGGCTCTGATGGCTCTAGTTCCCCCTGACTAGCTGATTTAATGTCTTGATAGTTTTATAATAATAATGTTGTGTCTTAAAGTTCCTCTGTTTATTTTAAACAGCATTTTTTTTGTATTGTGTTATATTTTTATGCTATAAGTGGTGTTAAAAAATATTCTGCACATTTCTGGGCCAATGTGCTATGATTTGGGATTTGGTGGGCTGCTGTGGGCCAAAAAGTCCAGGGCCACTTTTTGGTCCCAGTCCGCCCCTGAGTCCTCTGACCTTTCGTGAGCACCATGAAGTATCAGAGAGTCAGAGGGCAGCAGCATTAGGGAATGCTCACAGTTTAGGACTGGGAAAGTTGAACTATTCCCCCATATGAACAGAGCAGCAACAATGACAGAATAGCAAATGCCGCGTTATACACAACAAGGGTTGCAGAGAGCGAGCAACAATCAGTTGGGAGCAAACTGAATCTGCTTAAATAGAACGCCCTGATTTGATCGTGATCATTAGCACCGAGGGGAGATGAACAGCAGATGCGCTGATGCAGATGAGATGAGCTGATGAGACCGTGTTGTCGGCCAATAGCGTTAGAAGCATCGTGACTACTTTGCCTGCCAGAACTGACGCTGATGCTCAATAAATATATATCAATCTTGGTTAAATGTTTTGACAAACCATGCAGCAGATGCACACCACACAGTATATCAAACTATGCCTGATTAATTGACTATGTTTAGACATAAGACAAGAAACAATAAACCAGATGTATTTAGCACATGGTCACGTAAGGTCAACCTTAGGAGGAGTTACAATCATCGTACCAAGAATTAAGGCTGACGTTAACGCTGTTTAAGTGCATGGAGGAACCTTGGTGCTCCAGGCGGCTGGATCGGCTGATAAGCGACCACAGATTGCAGCTGCTAGCAGTAGCTCTGGACTGATTTGCTGCTCGGTTAAGGTGCAAAGAAAAACACCAGCCCTGGCCTGCAAGTATGTTGGCTTTAAAATCTGGAGCATGTTTGCTTTACTGGTGCAAGCTCGGACACTGGTTCGCATTCCACTGACCCCCACTTCACTGTTTTCACAGGAAATAAACAGAGGCTTGCTGCGGCAGCGTTATCACTCCCGGTCTGTTTGGAGTGATACCAAGAGCTACAAATCTGCAGAGCAGCCCAGTGGTGGGCGAGGGTGAAATAACTCATCAGGTAATGTGCACAGTCGTTTTCAAGGGGTGACTGAGTAAAGGTGGCTGTATTAAGTGTGAAGGGAATCAGGGCCAAGTGTGCAATCACCCTCTGATTAGACTGATCTGATTTCCCTCCACAAGTGGGCAAAAAAGCATTCTGCATTTCTGAAGCAGCATGTCATTCTGAATGTGCAGAGCTGCCTTCAAAACAGGCAAATCTTACATAGTAACGGTGGCAAGCATTTACCAAGTATGGTAAGAGCTCGGTACTAGTTCATTTACATCTTTAAGGTCAGCATGAAATGGAAATATTGTGAATGAGTTATTCGTGTTTAAGTTGTTGTTGTTTTTTTACTTGTAATTTTTTAACTCAGTCTCATCCAAAGAAGTCATATAACTGACGTCTTGGGACGTCTTTTGACCATACGTCAACATCCGCCTTTTTAGGGTACCCTTAAACGTCGGTTACATGACGATCCCGGGCTGTCATAAAACTGACGCTTTACCTTTAACGTCAGTTAGGTGACGGGGTAGGTTTAGGTCTGGGGTAGTGTTAGGATCCGATAACTTCATCTAACCAACGTTAAAGGGTACCCTAAAAAGGCTGATGTTGACGTATGGTCAAAAGACGTCCCAAGACGTCAGTTAAATGACGTCTTGGGATAAGACTGCGCTGAATTTTTTATTAAAAGTCCATAACTCCACTTTCTGGTGAAACAGCTAAAATCTACCAAGCCGAGATCAGCAAACAGCTTTACTTAGGGTATTTTTTTCAGCAGAGACACCGGTTTTACGCTGTTTCAGAAATCGTCCTTATACTCTTATAGGGCAACCATTTGTAATGTTGTAGTGGAAGTTACCATGTGCGCTCATTAAATCCACAATGCACCGCAATGATAAGTGTATGACCAATGGACCAATGCACTGTGATGGTGAGGGTCTAGCCGAAGCTGGTATCCACAGTGTCTAAATTCACTTACTCGTTTTCATTCACTCCTTCAAGTGGACTTCGGTATATTAGTAGTGAATAATATGGAATAGTGAGTGAGAGTATAGATGGAGATTTCAGATGCAGTCCGTGTTTTTCCACTGTTTCAGACAGGTATCATCATAGCGCTCACCTGAGTCTGGAATGTTCTCTGTTTGTGCCATTGGGAGCTCTTTCTCTCTCATTCATTCTATCTTTCTCTGTTTTCCAGTTTCACTTTGGTATTTTGGAGAATTTTTGTGGTTAATCAAGTCAAGGAGATTTTGTTGTTGATTGTTTGGAGTTTTCGAGGTGTACACTGCCGCTTGCCAACCCACAGTCACACACACACATACATACTGAGATTCCTCATTAGGTCCATGGCTTCCTGCACACTCACATTGTCGGTGTGTACAGAGTTAATGGATCAGATTAGAGGAGAGCTGTACAGTAATATCTGCCGCCTCAGCTCTAACACTGTGGTAACCCAGCGAAGCTCATTAGTTCTGTCCCTGAAAGGCAGACCATTCGCATTTCAGTCTCAATGTGGGAACAATTTAGCCATCTAATTGGACAGATCATTGAGGGTGCCGTCACCAGCTATATATATATATATATATATATATATATATATATATATATATATTCTTTTTTAAAAGCATTCTGCATTTCATTATCTATGTTATTCAAACTCTTTGGATGATTTTAGCTCCAGCTTTGAAATATCTTAACTTCAGCAATATGAACATCTAAACATTTTCTTGATTACCCTACAATCGCACAAAGTGATATGCGCATGCCAACTGCTATCAGCAGAGCAAAATTTCAGAAAGATGAGTCCTTGTATCTGGTTACCTTTCTAAATCATAAAGTAAACTATTTTCTGTTTGTATTTATGTAGACGGACTGGAGATGTTTTCGCAGCGGGATGGTTTGGCAACGCTGGGAATCCCTAGTGAGGGAGAAATAAAAATGACGGTTAGTGGAGAGAGGAATGAAGTCTTATTTGGCTAGAGACTCACAACCACCCACCCACCCACATACAGAAGAACAAAGACCCAGTTGGCTGAAGTTTCTGATAAACCACTGCAGTGTGGGAAAGCTCATCACTCATCTTCAAATGGTTATCAGAAGAAGAAAAAGAACTGCACACTCTGGGAGTCTGTTTCTGAAAAACTTCCAGTAGATACAGAGGAACCTGTGCCTGAACTTACTGTAACATGCATTACGATGCCACTCAAAGGTTTGGGCTCAAAGACTGTCACTAAACATATTTAGATATATCGAAATCGTCTTTCATTGCGATTTCCTGTATATCTACAGTAAATATGTTTAGATCTTCACAGTTAAAGGTAAAACTTCCGAAATCTCTGTGTAAACAATGAGTGACGTACACGCGCAAGCGATGACTTCCGGCGCATGCGCAGACCGAAGCGCCCGTGCCTTCAGATCAGTTGGACATGGCTGTGGTTACACAAGGTAAAAACAATATAAATACTGTTCGTTTTCTCACACAAACTGCTCGTTTCGTGTCTTAGGCCATCAATGTGTACTGACATTTACGAGTCATTTAATCGTGTTTAATTTTGACTTCTCTGTGGCTGCTTTTTTAGGTGAACCTAGGGTTGAAAATACTGTGGTAACAAAGACACCTACATCTTGGATGCCCTTGAGGTAAGCTGAAACATATCAAAAATTAATTTCAAAGTGAACCATCCCTTTAAAAAGAGTTAATAATATTTCACAATATTACTGTTTTCACTGTATTAATCAGTCAGTCAGTCTTTAATTTACCAAGTGATGTTTTTTTTTTATTTTTATGTGAGTTAATCATTCAATAAACCATTTCAAAAACACTGATTCATTCAGGAATACCACTTATGTGTGATGGCTGGAGTAAGCTGGTAATATTTTTTAAAGCAACATTTTGCTCAATATTAACTTCTTGTTTATCAAACTCTGAGTTGGGGGTAATGCAGATAGCATGAGTTATGTAATCAGATTACTTTTTTTCAAGTAACTGTAACATTACTTTTTAATTTACAATAAGTTACTTTTTTAAAATAAGTAATGAAAGTTATGTTTTCCCAATTATAGACACCTCTCCTGCCCCCACGTTGAGAGAAATCAGGAGTCTGTGCAGAGGCGTTGTGTATGCTGTATGTGTATCACTCAAAATTAATGAAAACAGTGCAATGCAAACTTGTACAAACCAGAAATAATTAAATTTGGTAATAATGTATAATATAATTTGTTTTTAATATCACTTTATTAACCATTGTCTGCTGTCCGTTGATGATCTAATTCAACCATACAAAGCAAAAAATACTTTAGATAAACATTAAATTTGAGTACATTTGCCAAAAATTTTGTTTTTATTTTTTTGTTATTAAAAACAGACAAGCAAGCCCAGCCCAAGTGAGAAAAAGTAACGCAACACATTACTTACCATAAAAAAGTTACTTTTTTCAGAGTAATTAAATATTTTCATGCATTTCTTTTAAGAGTAACTTTCCCTAACACTGATTAATATATTGTATTAAATCTCTCTGTGTCTATTGATTCAGCATGTCTAGCTGTAAAAAAAAAACTTTGATTTAAAAAAATAATAATAATGAACCTTTTTTTTATGACTGCCGAATCAGAACAAACTGATAGACAGGCCTTGTTACTAAGCAGTTTGGGAGGAGGATGGGTTTCTTTCATTGCTCTAAGGGAGTATTTGGCTGAACATTTGGGTGTTCAGGCCTCAAGTACAGTGAAACTGTCTGAGACAACAATTTTGATCAAAAAGCTCTGATTTGAACCTAAACTGATTGGCTTTCACTGAAACCAGAGAGCTCCAGCTGAAGAACTACTTGGCGTCGTCTGTTGAAACCCATTAAGAAGAAACTGAACGTGTTACTGTTCCTGTTTTTCTTGTCACTGCTGGACCTCTAATACTGCCGTAATCTTGTTAAATTGTTCCTTTTCTCGTTATCGTGCTCTCCTCTGGAGTTTTAGTCATAGCTTATTTTCCTGAGAGACTTGGAAATATGATTTTCAGAGGAGTGAAGCATTCAGATTGTAGTATTAATCAGACTCAATTCTGAGATTAGTGAAATCCCTTGTTAAAACAAATGACTGACCTCAGCCGAATGCAGACTCTCATTGTTTTCCATCAGACAACAGGGAGAAAGCCTCCGACCTTCGCTCCGCTTTCTCCATCTTTTCCTCTATCTATCTATCTCTCTATCGCTGACATCACAGTGGAAGCCTTTGACTTCCTGTTCCCTGGACGGCCTCAACTTCTGGAAATCTTGCGCTGAACTTTTGATGTCTTCCGCAGTTTTGGCATAGCTGCAGGGTGTAGGTGATTGAGAAATCTCATCTCTGGTCACAAGAGACGCAGACATCATGAGTCCTGAGTTGTTTTTGTTGATAGGATCATGGAAAATGTGAATAATGTACAGTTTCAGATGGAGCTCTAATCAGAAGCCTCAGAGTCATCTCAGACTCGGCCTGCCGCACTAGACTAATTTCATTGAGATTTGTTTTGATTTGTTTTGATTTTTGTTTTGAGATTTTATCCACAAAAATGTGATATGTGAGGGGAGGGGAGGGGAAAGAGAGTGAACGAGTTAGTGAGACGGACCCAGATGGATGCTATTTTTGATTTATGGGAAAACATTTCTGCTTTTTACCTTACTGCAAAGAACCAGATTACAACAGAACAAACCCCAAGTACTCAGATAACATCGCAGAGTAATCCCAATCTGGCAAGGGCACCGAACAAAAGAAAGAGGGAAAGACAGGCCTACAGAAAGAAAGAGAGCGTAAACATGAAGGCCAAGAGAGAATTATTGGGGGGAAATGGAGAGATAGGGAAAGAGAAGTAGTTTAAAGAAAAGAAAAAACGATGACACTATGAAAAGATGTAATGTTGCAGGTATGCTTGTCATCACTTCGTGGGATGGATGTTCGAGCTCTCATAAAGTTATTATTCTTACGAGGACCTCTGCTGGAATAAACAGGTAATTCACCACAACATTTGACAAAAAGTTTTGAATAGGTTCCTTTAGAGTAATATCAGAAGATGTTTCTTAATTTTAACATTAGCCTAATATGTTTCACACTGTTCAATTTGTCGTGAGTTAGTAGGCCTAATTAATCCTGGATTGTCAGGTTTTCGATATTCCACACACGTTAACATTCTCATTTGAATATGGATGTACAGTATGCAAAATATCTGTTCTGTTTGTTTTAATTATATTCAAAGATGCTACAAAAATAATAATGCCTTCATAACTCCAGTACAGTTGCGTCCTCTTTTTAACCGCTTCCCATAGATGCTGAATGTAAACACTGTCGACATTTTACATTGCACATTCATATTTAATGAGGTAATTTATCTATGACCATTTTTGATTGATCGGTTAAACAACTCACTGTAACATTCTAGCAACATGGCGCTGCGCTGTTTACATTATGTCAACAGCATAGGAGAATGACATGGAATTTTAACGATGTCTTTACTACATTTCTGGGCCTTCAAAGTTGCAATGTCTATGGAGGGATCAGAAAGCTCTCGGATTTCATCAAAAATATTTTAATTTGTGTTCCGAAGATGAACCAATGTCTTGTGGGTTTGGAACGACATGAGGGTGAGTAATTAATGACAGAATTTTCATTTTGGTATGAACTATCCCTTAAGTAATGTTGGGAAAAGTACCTTTTAAAAGTAACGCATTACATAATTGCATTAATCCCAAGAAAAGTAACTAATTGTTGCTGTAACCAAAGTCCAAATTCAAAGTAGGAAATACAAATTCACACCTGTAAGGTTAATAAAGTGAGATTGAATTCATTCATAAATTATATGGGTTATTTTAATGCTTTATTTGGTTTGCGTGTTATTCTGAGTTTGCATTTCACCGTCTTTATTGATTTTGAGGAATACTGAAAACAACCATCATTCTTACACAATGCTTTTGCACCTCTAGCTATTTCTCAAAATGGGGACGGACAGGAGAGCTGTCAGTCAATAAATGGGAAAACAAAGTCATTTATTTTAGACAAAAAAAAATTGTCTGAATAGCTTACTTGCGTTATGTAATTCGCTACCTAGAGTTAAGTTACATTTGTAATAAAATTCAAAGTGTTAATAAAACAAAGGTCATTGGAGTAAATTTTACAAGAAATACTATTCTGTCTTTTTTTGTTCAGTCTGTGTTATTCAACGTGTTACTTGCTGTTTCTTTGTAATTCATTTATAGTAATTTCTGAGAGACTTTTTTTTTCAGTGAGTAAGAGTAATGGAGTTTACTTAAGATAAACTCAAGGATTTGATGGACAGCATGGCAGCAGTTTGGAGAGAGCAGATGAGCAGGTTTCACACACTTACAGTAGAGCCTTTGTTTAAGACATTATTATTGTTTTTACTGAAGCTCTACCGCAGGGAGCTGAAACACACCCTACCATACAGAGTGGTGATGAGTGTAAATTTGAGAACTGTCAATATTGATTTTGCAAAGCAGACATTGATTTGTCATGACTTTGTCAAGAACCTGATGGTGGATTTCATCTATGTGTTTTTTTTCCCCATCATACACACGTGTACAATGATAATAACAGGTTTCTGTTTTTCATTGTCCATTCCAATTAATGTAAACTCTGGATTATGATTCCTCTCAACATTTATGTGTGCTGTGAACAGTTCGCAATGTATTGCCAAGATCAAAAATAATGAGACCAAACTGGAAATACAGATTTAGGGAAAATATTTAAGATAGAAGTTGACGGAACAGTAAGGTCAGTGTTAAGTCATATAAAATAGACGGTTAAAAAAGTTTAATCTCCTGAGAAATCCAGTATGAGGGGAAAAATGATTCAGGCCTGAAATCATCCACATTTTGTTCGTTCCAACACACTTTTGCAAGCAAACAGTTCTGCATATAAAACACAGACAACACCTGACTCACACAGTATAAATTAATAAATGTATCCATCCATTTCATCAGTATTAAATAATGTATATTATGAATCAATACATATTTATTAAAATGATATATTTAAATCAATATAATCAAACTTGAGTTGATTTTTTTTTTTTATGATAATAGCATCATAACGGTCACGTCACAACAACATTGCAAACAGCTGTCTAGAAACTACGGTGAAAATGTTAGAGTCTCAAATCTCTGGTTATTAGCCAAATGTATTTTTAGTCAAACAATTTGAAATAACACAAGTTAACGAATCCCTTTCATTACCCCTTCATTGGGGCAATTGGAACGCGTGTGTTCGTGGGCGCGTGTGTGTGTGTGTGTGTGAGAGAGAGAGGGCAAGAAATTAACAGACTGTGTTGGTTGTAGCCTATCTAGAGCCTGTCAAGCAATAAAATCGATGATGACGTGTGCTGGAACTTCCCTTGCTTGTGCACCCACTTTCAGGGTCAAATGGCAAAGTTTAGTAGCTGCATACTAGGTATTAAATTACAACATGGCCATCATGACTCTGTTCTGTGAGGATAGTTTGATGCTGCCTTCACTGATTACACCATTGACGTTCAGAGGAGATGACAGTCTATGATTGAGCTGAGAACCTCCTGTTGACCTTGTTGTGTCCTTGATGGAGTGAGTCTCCTGGGGGTCTCTTGCCCATCTCTCCCTGTACAGCAGAGCTTTGGCCCTCCTTTCTCAGCTCTAATCAGGTCTGTTTCAGTCCCGTGGCTGAGATCCCTCAGTAATGAACCACAACTAATTGAACAGATGCAATCACCGTGACAATCGGGTCGTCATGGATACCAGGTTACCAGGGCCTGATATTTGATAAATAGGTGGGAATGAAACACAGGCTAGAGCAGTGATATGTCAGACACATAATCATGTTTGTGCGATTGAAAACATATGAAAGTCTAAAACATGCATGTCGACATTTGCACACTCCTGTCTGACTCAGACTTTCCAAAAAGAGGGATGGTATTACAGAGGAAATTAACGTATGGTCCAGTTTTGTATCATGTAGTGAACACCTCTTAAATCTATAAACACAGCTTTGAGATGTGGGCTAAAACTTTATTTTTTTTTAGAATTTGTGCCAAAATGGCGCGAGGAACCGTTCAATAGCAGGTGTTGAAAATTGATTCTGTTGACTGGAGCCTTAGAGTATATGTTGTTCAAGCCAATCAAAAGAGCTTTTTTTAACAGTTAGCACTATGCTAAGCTAGTAGTTTAAGCATATAGCCTGCTAGCAAAGTCAAACTGACAAATAGAAAGTGAAATCTTTAATTTGACCATTTTTAGATTCTGTAATATAATTTAAAAGACATGAATTAAAGCTGCAGTCCGTAGCTTTTTTTGGGTAAAAAAAAATATCCAAAATACATGACCAGCCAGTGTTCAGAACTATCTGCTGGCGTCATTGCGAAAGCTGGCTAGGCTGAGCTGGACGCTGTGAAGTGGCTCGTGCAGGAAGTTGGTCATGTTAGCAGCCTGCAGTGGAACTAGAGCGTCGCGGCAGGAACAAGTTCATGGCCTGCGTGGTCTTCTGTACTTCGGAGAAGAGGTCGACGATCCCGTTCACCGCTGGGCCGAAGGGACCAGTGGGGGAGAGCGCCATGTTGAGAAATGTGGTGCTTTCAAATTCCCTCATGTCAGCAAGCATCATCTAGAGGTGCCTCTCTGTAACAGTCCATTTGCGTTTCAATGCAACAATGCATTTCCCTATAGCCTGTGCTGCGGACTTGGTAGCGCAAAGGAAAAGGTCTCGTCCCACTCATGAAGAAGATCTGAAGCACAGCCATCGATGTGTCCACTGGACCATGCCCACGATGAGGCCATGCCTCTAGTAGAATGAGCCCTGATGCCCAAAGGACACCATGACCATCCGCAGCCGTTGAGTCTGTTAGGCGCGGGCTCCATGCGACGACAGCGAGGGGCTGAAGCCGGCGGCTGCGCACCAATGAATGGGGGTGGAGAAGGCGAGGACGAACCTCGAGGGAAGGACTCCGGCGAGCGTTTCGCTTTGGCCACAGGTTCCGGAGGCCTTTGGGAACGGCACTTCTTCCTGCACGGACCAGCAAAGGACGGAGTGACAGCCTCGGTGTAGAAGGTCTCGAGATGAGCCAAGGATACATCGCCGGATAGCGTGGCTCGCACAGATGGCTGAAGGCGGTGGTGACCAAGGCTATCCTAGGCTGGCTATTCGCTTCTTCAGAAGGTGATTCGGCTTCTCTCGGATCCAGCGATGCGAAGAGCTTCGCTGAAGAGATGAAAAACAGAGGATCAGCCTCCGAGCCCTACTTATATACGCTAAGCCACGCTCATACTGGCGGGATATGACGGTGTGAAGGCACAAGCGCCCTTCATTGGACGTGACATCACATCGTGCCTCAGTGGTAGGCTGCTGCATTTCCCGCAGGGCAGCCTATGAGCACGATAGACTGCCTGCTCTAAGTCTGCTAGCTGCTGCACTGCATTGACAATGAATACAAAAATAAGGATAATTTTTTGGCTTCAATATCTCGAAAAGATGAATTTTTCCTCTAGCATAAGCTAACTTATGTACAAAGCCCCCCTAGTCCCACTTTGGCAAAAAAAAAATAATTATAACTATCTCGTGGCCTCAAGATAGTAACTCGTGGCCTCAAGATAGTAACTCGTGGCCTCAAGATAGTAACTCGTGGCCTCAAGATAGTAACTCGTGGCCTCAAGATAGTAACTCGTGGCCTCAAGATAGTAACTTGTGGCCTCAAGATAGTAACTCGTGCCTCAAGGTAGTAACTCGTGGCCTCAAGATACTAACTCATGGCCTCAAGATAGTAACTCGTGAGGCCACTGAGGCCACGAGATAGTATCTTGAGGCCACGAGTTAGTATCTTGAGGCCAAGAGTTAGTATCTTGAGGCCACGAGATAGTATCTTGAGGCCACGAGTTACTATCTTGAGGCCACAAGATAGTTATAATTATTTATTTATTTATTTATTTTTTTGCCAAAGTGGGACTAGGGGGGCTCCGTACTTATGCAATACGAGAAAACCTCTCGTAAGAGAACTCTGATTATATTCGTCTGAAAAAAAGAATGTCATATACACCTATGTTGGCTTCAGGGTGAGTAAGTCATGAGCTTATTTTCTTTTTTGGGTGAACTATTAATTTTAATACTTTAGAATACTTACAGTATCCAAATAATTAGTAGTTATTTTAGAAGGATGTATTAACACTTGAGTCATTACTACTGGGTTAGCATTACCATTTATTATAAATTATGCATTATTCATGTTAATTATAAACCTGTAGTTCTCTGGGAGGTTTGAAACAAATCTAGTTACTGATTAGCTAACTGTGAACTACTGCATTTAACTGAGCGCTATTACTTACTAATTTGTTAATCAGAGGTCCTAGTTAGTTAAGTCACTAGAATGATAATACTGTGTTACTCATTTGTTTCTGTGTAGTTATTTATTAATGAAGGAACAGTATTCTAAAGTGTTATCAATGTAATTTGCGAGTGTCTTCCACAGAAGAAAGTATGCTGGTTTGAAACTACATGAGGGTTAGTAAATGATGACCAGTCTAATTTTCGGAGTGAACCATCCCTTTTAAAATGAGATGCACAGTAAATCATTTTTCTATCATTTATAATCAGGCACAGAACAATCTTTGGTCTCTTGTGAACCTGGTACTCAAGACGAATAAGTGAACGTTTTTCTTTAACATGTCTTTCCATCTGTTCCCTCAGGCCTGCTTTCCCAGGGAAATATGATGAAGGGAACGAAAATAAAGTGAAATGAAAAACAGAAGAATAAAAGAACTACAGCTCGGAGAGCTCAACACAAACTGTTCCTACTGCGCTGCTACACGGCCTACTGTTCTACCACCTCAGGACACTGCGAGAGACAAAGAGGGCAAGAGAGGAGAGAAGGAAAGAGACTTTGACAAGGACATGCCGATTCCACCCAAGAGAACAACGCTGGATGAAAGAAAAGCGAATAAGAGATTGGATAACAGAGTTCCAGCAGAGAAAATAAATGAAGAATTTAGGTAGAGTGTTGACTTTTTTACTCAACAATTTCTTGGTTAGAAATGAAGAAGGGAGACCAGAAGCAGAGTTTATATTGATGTAGTGAAACAATGTGTGTGTGCAAGAGATTAAGTATGTGGTTTCGACACCAAACAGACCTGCAAAAATGATTGTTTTCAAACAAGTTTCCCACCCACCCACCCCTTTTGCCATTGGTCAATCAAATGGTTGGCCCCACCCTAAACTCATGCCATTGGTTGAGTCACGGTTGCTGTGTTGGGCTGGTTGGAATTCTCAACAAAAAAAAAAAAATTGACAGAATTTGCAGAAGTCAGCCTAACAATGGTGTATTAAGTCTTTTTTGATTCCGATGCTCCCACTGTTCACAACAAATTGAAAGATTAAAATAAGTAACTACAATAGTTATAATTAAAATTACTTTAATTTGTTTTTAGAATTCCAGAGGTTTGGACATGAATGAAAATAAGAAACATCTTGATTTTTAATTGTTTTAGCTTATTTTAAATTTTGTTTTGGATTTAAATAAATAATTTGAGGTCACCTTAAAACATCTTGGAAGTTTGCTAAGGTCCCCTAGGGGGCCCTGGACCCTGGTTGATTCCACTGCTTTAGAGTAAAGTTTACAAACAGAAATTGACATTTTTTTTTCTAAAAACCTTTTAAAATTAGGATTGGTTTGCAATTTGTTGAGTATGACTTTTCCGCTTCAATGTCATTTGTCTTAAACAGGTGCATTCAGAATAGTGTAATGTAATGGGTGTATCAGGAAGCTTCAAGTCTCATTCCAAAGTCAAGGAAACACAAACCATTAGACAACACTGTCTTTCAGAAACCAGACAATACCCTTTTCATCAGTGAACAATGTGTGTCTGCTGTGTGTCTGCACATATTTGCTGACAGGCTGGCACGCCTCTGCAGGTAAATTGCATTTCTTTTTTTGCAATTCCGTTGGCAGCTTCTATCAAGTGTCTGTCCGCTATTGCAACATTTGGCACAGTTCAAATAAAAAACACTATAAAAAAGATTATTATATATTGGCTGGTGAAACTTCGTTATGTTCTTAAAGGGGTCATATAATGCCATTTTATTACAAGTTAATTTGATTCTTTAGGGTCTAAATGAAACGTTTGTAATATTCTTTTATTAAAAATTCTCATTAGTATTTTAAGATAACACTCATTTTACCTGGTCAAAAACAGCTCTGTTTTTACCACACCGTTTCAGTGCATATGCCTTTAAATGATAATGAGCTTCGCTCACTCCCCCTCTGTTCCTCAGGCGTTTTGACATAACGCACGTGGAGTGTTGCCTTGACGAGAAAGATCAAGATACGTACATATTGAGAACTTCGTATTTGGAAAACATGCCGTAATGTACCCAAGTCTAAACCTTAGCTGCATTCATCATGAAGCGTGCAAGCGATTTGCAGAGATTAAAATAAAGGCTGATAAAATTTTACACTCACTTCTTCTGGAGGTGCAGCAGGGACATGAATAGTTGGTACCAATTCTTTTTTCAGAAGCAGCTTCTTAGCAAAACCAGCTTTATACTGACCCTCGTTTAAAGCAGTGTGGTGAGAGGTTACCGTATTTGCGAATCGCACAGACATGAAAGCATTGCAGTTGATCGTGGGGAATATTCCCTTTGAAAACAAAACTCAGCCACTGCATCTTCAGCGATTCGGATTTAGGAACATCAAAATGACTGGTGTGTGCGTTATTACACTCAAGAACAGAATACCTCAATCGCTTAGACGCCATTCTGCTTCAGCGTATCGACAATAGCGGGATATGATGACAGCTCGCTCAGGGCAGGGAAATGCTGCTGTCAATCAACAATAGTGGGAGGGGCGTCCGACTGTGTGACATCACACGGCTCGATTTGAGTCAGAGAGAAACATATAAGGAGTTTAAAATAAAAACACTGGATAGAGTTGTATGATGGTTGTGTACAGGCACTGCCAACACTGTAAAAAATATTTTCAAGATTTGTTATCACAACATATTTTCTTTTGTCAAATCAACTAGTTCAATCAACTTAAAATTTTAAGGCAACCCAGGTTACTTACTTTTTTTTAAGTTAAACCAACAATATTTTTTTTCAGTGTAGTAATCACAACATTTTTTCTTTTGTCAAATCAACTTAAATAATTTATTTAGTTCAGATAACATATAATTTTGAGTTTCTGATAGCTAAATTAATCTCCTTCATTGTATAAACTCACTTTTTCCAGTTCAATGAACTTAAAATTTTAAGGCAACCAGGTTACTTACTTTTTTAAGTTAAACCATCAATATTTTTTTTTTTTACAGTCAACACAGTACAATCAACTTGAAAAAGTGCATGTACCCCTTTAATACTGAGATTTCCTATATAGGCAACAAACTGACACTGTTGTAATTCTCAGAGGCAATTTAAATGCAAAAAAAAATAATTTCAGTTTATATCAGTATTATACAGTATGTTAACGTTTTCAGCACTCTGAGGACAGGTACATTCCTGCCCTTGAGATTCATTCAATGTAAACTTTCAGAACATTTGTATGAAAGCCGCAATGCATGCAGACACAAAGGAGGGAATTAGTTCTAATCATAAAGTTGTCATCGCCGGTTTTGGAATGTTCCCGGTTGCTGTGGGCAAGAACCTTCACTCAAGACAGATTACATTCCATCTGTGGTTAACAGACTAAACAAATACTAACAGGTGAAGTAATTTAATAAAATGCATGCACACCAACACACACACACACACACACACAATTTAATTAGCTTTAGCTAATCTAAGGACACACCATACTATAGACTTCTTTTATATGCTACTTATAATTATAGTTATAATTTATAAATTCAAATATTAAAAAGCATTTGTAGAAAATATATATAGGCCTTTATATAGAGAGAGTTTTTTTTTTTTTAAAATGAGGACATTTTTGTTTTTACATTTTATATTTTGCATTCAAATTGAAGACATCCTTGACATGCAATCTCTCTCTCTCATAGAAATGTTGTCTTGCTAACGATGCATTAGCATTAGCCCTGAGTTCAGGTCACTTTTTACTGAAACCCCAGGTGTGGGATCTCAGCCGGACATTTAGGCATGGTCCCAACGCAACTTTCTTCAACGCATGTCAGCCAAGTGCCAACTGACTTCACAAGTGCAAAACGTCCAACAACAACATGCAAAGATTTTATATATCACCTATGCTTATGTTACCGTCTACGTCGTCTGTTTGCTGCTATCCTGCCCCTAGTCTACCCCATATCACATGTGCATGTATTGCGCTATCCATCTTTAGCCCACTATCTGCCCCATGCTAACACATAAGCCACTATCTGCCCCAGGCTGAGCGTTTCTGTAAAACTAACTCTGCTGCCAATTATTGGCGAAAGGCTGTTTCATTTTGATGTGGGTAATTTAACAAGAGTCCCGTAAACGTCTGCATTTTTCTTTCAGAGTGCTGTAGTTTTGTCTCTCATTTCTTTAACAAGCTGGAAAACACTTCAATAGGAATCAGACTCCAACACATGCAAACCAGCTGCAACAGGTCAACACAAATGATCAACAACGGGATTTGAGTGTGTTGGATCCTTTACTGAACAAAATAAAGATTTTCTGTTCAAAAAAATGAAGCCTTTCCATTAAGTTGGAAATTGGATAAATATTTGCTCAATTAAATGCAATTTGGGCAAGTAAGTGCTATTGATATGTGTGTGCAATTATCGTAATCTGAGAATGTTCATATAATTGTGCAATTCATTTGGTGCCAGTTTTGGATCAGGGAGAGGAATATTCTGAACACTGCTCTTGCACTTCTAATGAACATTAATGCTGCTATGTCCTCCCGTCTCACCAACATAAAGTACTTGCCTGTTTATTAAATGGAAACAAGTGTGGGTATCTGCAGGTAGGAGTAATGGGCTTGTCGAAAGGTAAGGCGTGGAGAAAAGCCTTTATAATTGGTTGTGAAAGCTGTCTGTATGGGGTATGGGGTAGGGGTAGGGGTAGGGTTAGGGCAGGGGTGTCCAAACTCGGTTCTAGAGGGCCCCTGTCCTCCAACTTTTCTCAAAACACCTGCCTGGAAGTTTCTAGTATGTCTAGTAAGAGCTTGATGAGCTGGTTCAGTTGTTATTGGGGTTGGAGGCTTGGAGATAAATTCTGCAGGACAGAGGAGGATTGGACAGGATTGGAAACACCCGGGTTAAGGGTTAGTTTCTGTAGAATTAATGTCATAGAAATTAAGCTTTAGAATAATTTCTGCCAATAACAATCAATTGTTACATCACTCATTACCTTCTCATCTATCTTATCGTATTCTTGCAGAGTATTTCTGGTAGAACTAAATGTGAACAATTCATCTGCACATGTTCAATATCTGTTGCTACTTCCTTTTCGTCGCAACTTTAACTGCTGGAGCCAGATCATTGACATAGCTGCCGGGTTTCACAGACAGGGATTAAGCCATTAGGCATATTAGGCCTTAGTTCAGTTAGGACATTTAGCTTATATAAACATGTCTTAGAAACATTACTAAACAAAACAATGGCACTGACATATTTTAAGATATGGCAGTGCAATTTGCTTTCAGTTAAAACAGCTTAAAGATGCATTTTAGTCTGAGCCTTAGGAGTTCAGGAAGTGCTCACGAGACTCTCGGCCTAGTAGATCAGCTGCGCTTCGTCTCTTTGGGACGGCGTTTTCGGTGGTGTTCACGGACACTCACCTCGCCTTTACGCTGGCACCCAACCGTGTTTTTCTAACCTTTGGTGTGTTTATGACTCACCCCTGAGCCGAGATGTGTGTGGTTCATTTGTTTCACTCCCCTTGTTTTCACTGGCCTCCAGCCCTGCTGTTATTCATAGGCACCCTAATCACCAGCGGGGAATATGCTTTATAATCACAGACCACATGTTCTCAGAGGCTGGGGGGGAGGAGGGTCTCTCGGGGAGAATTAAATAAATAAATATATAAATAACTTTTAAAAAATGTCTCCGTATTTGGTAACCACACATCTGTTTTCATTGAATGTTATGGAACAATTTTCAATGATCAAATCAATTACATACATTCTTACACACGCGCCGGCCAAGATATTTTCGGCTGCAGTCGAGTTAACGCACATCAAACATCAGTTCTGCTCTGATTCTGATGAACACCCGATACGTCTGCTGCACCTGAACGGATGGTGAGATCCATTCCTCCACGCCCGCAGTGTTTGTAATTAGTTAAAGCTGTGTGACGCACAGCCGGAGGAAAAGTCTGATTCGTTGACTCTTATGGGGAATCATATTGTGGCAGAACATCATCTAACGTAACAGTGAAAAATCTCAAAATGAGGTGAAAGATAAACCAATGACATGATCCTTTTGCTTTGACAGGTGCTAAAACATCATTGAATCGGGCCCACACGAGTGCTTGTCTTATTCCTTTGTGTTTAGTAATACGGTCTGTGTTTGTGGAAACGATTACACTTTAGAAATAATAAAACCTATTACTAAAATGTGGGTTTGAATTTTACCAAGAATATTTTCAATCTTGGTTTCTCTCTCGCTCTGCTACCTTTACCCCATGCCGACAGGTGGCGACAGAGTGTGGTGACACACACTAACTATCCGTGAAGAAAACGAAAGCGCGAGTTACACTACACGTGTGTGTAGAACAGAAACATGGGCAAAAGAAGGCGAGGAAAACAAGAGGTTACCAATTTAACTAAGAAACAGAAGAAACATCTAAAAGAATTTGGAGAACAGCACCCTTTTCACGATAAGTAAGTATCACAATGTGGTGTTCTCAGAAGAGTAGACAGTAACGTTACAAGTTAGCATTCAAGTTAGCTTGTAGTACAGTTACTCATCATTGTTTTGCCTTTTAGTGTTGTCGATAGACCGGAGAAGACTGAGATTTTGCGCTTGGTAAGTTAAATAAATGATAGACTAACGTTATATTCTTTCTTGAGTGGTGACAGACTTGATCCTGCGAGTCAAACAACCTCCTTCATATTTCAGTTAATGAGCTGCATTTTACAGCAGACGGTGAATCTGAATGCATGTACACGACGAGTAACATTTCATAAAGGGTAAATTAAAAATGTTTGGCTAGATCTGACAATTATGAAAACATGCTTTGTTTGGTCCATTTTAGGAATAACGTTCACCCCCAAATGAAAATGCTGTCAATACTTACTTACCGTGTTCCAATGAGTTTCGTCTGTTGATAACAAAAGAAGATATTTTAAAGAATTTTGGTAACTAGAGAGTTGACAATTGCCTTTGACTTCCACAGTAAAAACCCTAAGTGTGAGTAATTGATGACGTTAAAAAAACAACATTTGTGTGAACTATCCCTTTAATTATGAATATCGACTTTGTATAATTATGACTTACAAAAGCGTTATCTTTTTCCTTATGTAGAGAAATTGGCTTGCATAAAAAAGAGAAGCTGTCCCTGGTTCAATCGTGATAGTTTGATGCTCAGGTTGAAGTCCTTATCTTGTTAAAATGCTTTTGTTTATAAACCATCAAATTAAAAGAGTTTCTTGCAGCCTAACAGGCCACAACATCGTGAACCTGACAGTGAGGAAGACAGTGATAGAGAGCAGCAGTCTGCTTATCAGAAACTGCTGTCCACCATGATCCAAGTTGCCGATGACAACAGTGAAGATGAAGAAAGTGAAGATGAGGATGACGGAGATGAGGATGAGAATGACGGAGAGGAGGTTGAAGGTAAAGTCTCTTATTTGTTATCAATTGCGGTGCTTCTTCTGAAAGAGTCTAATGGGCCTGTAATTAAAAATCTTTCTCAAGTAGGAGAGAGTGGTGAAGAAGAAAAAGAAGAGGAGGAGGAAGGTGATGATGATGATAATGATGATGAGGAGGGTGAAACACCTGATGATTCACAAGATAGAGAACACCCTGAAAAGACAAATGGAGATATTGAGGAGAACATGGAGGGAGAGTTTACAGATAAGAAGAATGAAGCTGCATTCTGTTTGGAGACCAACCTTCCAGCCGAAGAAGAGGAAAACACAGAAGATCAGGAGCAAGGTGAGACATTCCCATGATTCTTCACTGCAGCGATTTAAATTCTGACCTAAGATCATTAATAATTGCTATTGATGTGGGATTTATTGTTTTGTAAACTCTTAAGTCTAGTACACAAGATGGCTTGACAAGTTGAAAACCTTGGCCCAACTATGCCTCTGTGACTCTCTGGTTGTTGTAGACATGTTTGTGAAGCACCAGGAAATCGAACTGAGTGAAGAGGAAGTAGGCCGAATCTCGCAAGGATCAACAATCAAGACTCAGGTTAAGGTATGCCAGTCATCAGTTTTTATTTGCTGCTTTGATTTGATATATATATATATATATATATTACAGTGCGTGTTAGGGCTGGGTATTGAGACAAATTTCACAATTCGATTCGATTTCGATTCACAAGCTTGCAATTCGATTCGATTTCGATTACGATTATTTTGGATATCAGTTGCAATAAATGGCAATTTTTCTCAAGGGAATCAAATCTCTTAAATGCTGTGAACTATGGTCTATATATATTGTCTAGTTGTAGCCTACTAGGCTTCATTAGCCTAATATGAAGGTAATAATGAACTGTTTTGTAGCTATACAAACACTTAAATTACACTTTTATTTATTTTTATAATAAGAAGATTATATGAAATATAAACATTTAAATGGTGGCTGTCATAAAAACTTGCCAGATTTATTCAAATATGCATTAAATATTGAAGAACACTAACGAGTGTGGACTAACAAGTACGTTTTCTGAGGTAAATATGACGATACATGACATTGATTACAAGCTGTTTAATTGACGTCTTTCCACGGTTGAAACGCAGATTGAGCGAATCAATGTGACATGATACGGATTTCGATAAGTTGTACTCGATCTTTTAACACACTTTCAGATGCTCATTCATGTTTATTTTGCGCTGTGACCGGTATTATTAACCCGGAAGAGAGATCAGCGCTGCTGCTTCTCTGGAGCTGCGTCAGAGCGATCTCACGCCACAGCGCCAAAACGGCAAAACGCTATTTATGTTTTTGAATTTCTAAAGAAAATGGACGTAATTTGAAAATTAAGACTTTGTTTCATATCAATAGTAACAAAGGACAAAGATTATTGCGATTTGTTGGATGCGCGCAGCCGCGATACAATGTCTCATTCATTCAAATGAAACAACAGGATGACTAATCGATTCTTGAAATTTAAGAATCGATATCGGTTTGTAAAAATGAGAATCGATTAATATAGAGAAATCGATATTTATTACCCAGCCCTAGTGCGTGTATACCAGGTTGATGAGATAAGACGTCTCTCATGTGCACCACAGTTGCATAGTTTATTGGAACAAAAATACAGTAAAAAACAGTCATTTTGGGAAATGATTACAGTTTAAATAACTGTTTTCTTTTTTTTAGTTTAAAAAGTGATTTATTATTTTTGATGAATTTAAAGTGACCCTTACTGCCCCCCAAAAGAACTGTAAAATATCACCGTTATTTCCTTCCTTCTCCCCCTCCAGTGGCCAAAGCTAGGCGTTCTGCAGTGTGTGTGTCCACTGGAACGTTTTAAAGCTGTAGGGCAGCCCTCATCTGCCCCTGTTCCACTCATTCACAAAACCCTGGAGGCAAATTGGCGCTTGTTAAACCAGCCCTTCGGACCTGAAGGAGGCGCTCTGACAGATGTCACAGAGCTACAGAAGGAATTGCTTGGGCTCATGGGTATTTCAGCAAAATCTAAATAATTCATTACTCCACCCATCCTAATTTTTAAAATGACACTTTGCTGTTTTTTTTTTTTTTGTAATCATCTCCCATTTTTTGTTTTTCCAGGTACTTACAGGGATGTATATTTTTCAAACCGCTCTCCTTTGAAGGAGGCTAAGGAAGTACGGAGTGCGTACTGTCTTCATGTGCTGAACCATGTGTTAAAGGCAAACACTCGTGTGCTTAGAAATAATGCCAAGTTGAAGGAATCTAAAGATGTGAATGAGGATTTTCGGGATCAGGGGTTAACTAGACCAAAGGTACCACTGTTTTCAGATTTATACCGCCAGTGTGTTGTTTCTTGATTTTTAACTCTTTCCCTGCCATTGATGGAATTTTTCTGTCATTTATGAATCAACGCATTGACAATTTACCAGGATTCCATGTTTTCACTGTTATGCTTATGCACATGTAAAATAACACGAACATTAAACATATAAATCAAAACTGCCTAACATTACCAAATGAAATGTCGACTCAGTAAGAGTTATATGATTGTGCGAGCCTTGGGGGTGTTGATGGACCCGATCTACTCCATCTAAAAATATAAATGGGGGATATGAAATTTTGTGAAAATGATATAAAATTGCTGGCGGGAAAAAAGTTAATTCTGGGTTGGTTTGCAATCATTTTTAAATAACTTTTTTACATGAATAAAATAACTTTAAATCAGCCAATCACAATCTCATAATTAACTCTCCATCTTCTAGGTTTTGATTCTGGTGCCGTTCAGAGATGGAGCACTGCGAGTGGTCCAGACCTTCATAACACTATTGGAACCCAAAGGCAAGAAGATGGACGCCAGTAACAAGAAGCGATTCAAGGAAGAGTTTGGAGAGGAGTCAAGTGAAAGGCCACCTAACCTGCACAGACCTGACGACTATCATGCCATCTTTTCTGGAAATGTGGATGACCATTTCAGGATAGGTACAAGAAGTGAAAATCTTAAACTATAATGTACCTTGTTTAGATGTTAGAGTACTAAACCCTAACCAAATATGCTGATACACACAAACACACAAAAAAATGTTCCTTTAAAAATGTAAGAAAAACAACTATAGTATACTTTTAAATGCCACATCTATCAAGCCTGTGTAACTCTCAAACCTAAGGTTTTATTTGAAGAAACTGTGACCTGGTTTCACAGACAAGGTTGAGATTAAGCCAGGATTAGGCATTAGTTTAATAGGACATGTAAGTAGTTTTTAAAAACATGCCTTAAATACAACTGATGTACATCTTGACATATTTTAAGATATGTTAGTGGAAGTTGTTAAAACAGCTCAAACATGCATTTTAGTCTGGGATTAGTTTAAGCCTTGTCTGTGAAACTGGAGGATATGGTATTAAATATAAAGCTGGATCAAGCCAACATTTAAAGTTTCTCTTTGGTTCCCCTGCTGGCACAAAAATTACGTCATTCACTTTTAACCCCTGATGCTATTTAGATTAAAGAGTTTAACTTTATTTACCTTTGTTTCACCTCTTGCATATAACCTTTTATTGTGCATAATGTTTATTTTCTCTGTGTGGGCAGGTGTGTCTATCATGAAGCGTAGCATGCGTCTCTATTCTCCGTTCTACTCCTCTGACATTATCATTGCGTCTCCACTGGGTCTGCGCACAGTTTTGGGTGTCGACGGTGATAAGAAAAGAGACTTTGACTTCCTGTCTTCAATCGAACTTCTGATCGTGGATCAGGCGGATGTGTTCCTCATGCAGAATTGGGAACACTTGCTGGTTGGTTTTCATTTAAATGTTAGATATAGATAATTGCATTGTTGTCTGTTTAACGAATTATTATATATATATATATATATATATATATATATATATATATGCATTTTATATTTGCAGTCAAATGAGCTTTTGGCTTCTACTTAATTTCCCTTGATCCTTTTTGTGTGTTGCAGCATGTGTTGAAGCATTTGAATATGCAGCCGCTGGACTCTCACGGAGTCGATTTCTCTCGTGTGCGCATGTGGAATCTGAACAACTGGGCCTCATATTACAGACAGACGCTGGTGTTCAGTGCCATACAAGAGCCCCAGATCACCAACATCCTTACCAAACACTGCCATAACTACAGGGGCCAGGTAAAACACTCTGACAATTGTTCATATGATTGACTCTGGTCTTAGAGTTTTTACATCATTGCTGAACTCATACAATTTTTTTATATAAGTAGATGCACATTCCCTTAGATGCATGAACTAATAAAATATAGGAATGTTGAATGGAATGTTAGGTGCTTTGGATAAAGACATCTGCATAATGCATAAGTGTTTGATAAATAATGTACTTCTTTCTCTCAGGTGTGCAGTAAAACCATTCCAAAGGTGGGCTCAATCTGTCAGGTTCTCGTGCAGCTACCGCATGTATTCCAGATGTTTCACTCTGACAGCTTCATGGACCAGGATGCCAGGTTAGAGACGAGTGCTGTTTATCATTCTGAGCACTAGAGGGCGACAGTTTGCAGGGAAACCTCTTAGAGAAAACTTTAATGTTATAGTTATGATGTTTGATAATTATTTGCACATATTTTAACTACATTACCCATGATTTTTTAGGTTCCAGTTCTTTGTGGATAAGATCCTCCCCCAGTACAGAGACTCTGTTATGTCCCACACTTTCATCTATGTGCCTTCGTACTTTGATTTTGTTCGCCTGCGAAACTACCTGAAGAAAGAAGACGTCAGTTTTGCCAGTGTCAGCGAGTACTCTCAGAGATCAGAGGTGTCTCGAGCACGACATTACTTCCAGACTGGAGAGAAACAGTTTATGCTCTTCTCTGAGAGATTCCACTTCTACAAGAGGTGTGTGTTTGTATTATCATTTGCATACTTCATACACATTATACTTCAATTTTGAGGCAAGATATTTTTTGAATAAAATTAATACTTTTATTTAGGATACTTTAAATTGATCAGAAGTGATCGTACAGATGTTTATAATGCAGCAAAAAATCCAATAAATACTGTTCTTTTGCATTTTTTATATTCATCATAGAACAAACACAATATAGTTTCCACAAAAAAAAGCTGCACAACTGCAAATAAGAAATGTTTAAGCAGCAAATCAGCATATTAGAATGATTTCTGAAGGTTCACGTGACACTGAATTTTCAGCAATACTTGGTCTAGTCTTCATCTTTGCCAACACATAAATTGCATTTTAAAATATATTATAGAAAAGTTGTTTCAGATTATAGTAATATTTCACAATATTTGTTTTGTTTTTTTATTCTCTTTCTCTCAGGTACACTATCAAGGGCATCCATAATCTGATCTTCTACGGGTTGCCTACATACCCTCACTTCTACACTGAAGTGTGTAATATGCTCCAGGCTGGTGTCAGAGAGGGTGGTGGTTCTGTCAGCTTCACCTGCACAGCCCTGTACTCCCGTTATGACACGCACCGGCTGGCTGCCATCGCTGGGGCCGACCGCGCCGCTCAGATGCTCCAGTCCAAAAAACCAGTGCACCTTTTCATCACAGGGGAGGAGAAAAACACATGAAGGGGGACTGAAAATCGAATGTGACATTTTTTAACCTTTAAGAGAAAGAACATAATCCGTGTTTGCGGTAATGTACAGAAAGATGTTTTCCCTTCAATCCCCCTAAAATTCATTCATAAGACTGAATGTAATGATGTTCTCATGTCCTTTTGTGTTCTTTTCGTTAATATAAAGTCTTCCTTTGCTGTAGTCACCGCCCAGACCATTGGCTCCCAATGGGTGTGTGTGTCCCAAAAGGTTTACAGGACTCTACAATAAGGATGGCTTCATGCCAGTATCCAGAGATTGAGACTAGTTGAAGTGTCACCTGTCCTGTTAGAAAAGTGCTGTGTTGTCTTACTTCTGATCACTGATCACGTACTGTGCATGAATTATATATCTTAAAGTGATATTCCACTTTTTTTTAGAAATAGGCTTATTTTACCTCTCCCCCAGAGTTTTACCGTTTTCCAGATGTATTCAGCCGATTTTCTGATATTTAGAAGAATATATTTCTATAAGAAGTATATTTTTTTCCTACTATGGAAGTCAATGAGACCAGAAACGGTCTGGTTACGGACATTCTTCTAAATATTAGAAAATCATCTGAATGCATTAGAAAACGGTAAAACTCAACTGTTTAACTCTGGGGGAGTTGTAAAATGAGCCTATTTCCAAAAAAAAAAAAAAAAATGGAGTATCCCTTTAACATCTAAAAACTAAATGTTTGGTTAATTGAACATTGAAGTGTGCCAAGGAAATTGCACAGACATGTGCTCTTCAAGAGAGATTACGATTAAATCTCCTTTGAAGTTAGTACAGAATTATAGCAAATGTCATCTAAATTTCAAAGTGGTTAAACAATTAAATATCAAATATCAGCTGATACTGACAGGAAAAAAAAGCAAGTATTGGCTGATATGTTGTCGATGTTACCCTGGATTACAAAACCAGTCAAAAGTAGCAATGGTGATATATTAAAGGGACAATGTTTACTTTTTATGCATTTTATTATTTAAAATCAATATTTTTATTCATAAATATGTCCTCAATGATGAACAAATACCTCTGCCAATTATCGGACTTATCCTCGTAAACAAAGGATTTATTATCTTTATATAGATGGGACGGGTAGGTCCAAGGAGGCTTCCATGTTGTTCCACCATCTTGAAAAACATTAATAGCAGAGAGGGAAAAAAAGTACTTGGCCAGCGCGTTTCCACAACAAGTTTTCGTTTAGAGTCAGCGTGACATAACTGAAAGCAGCAGAAACGGAGGAGCAGTGACAGTGAGGCGCTTGTCACTGCCCCGGCAAGTTTAAAAGGCTGCATCGCAGATCCTTAACGCCAGAAAAGTCCAGAATAGATTGTAAAAGGAAACGTGACCGGAGATTACAAAAAACACGAGTTAATATCGGGATAGCCTTTTCCAGGTGGATGGAGCTAATGCAGGAGAAAGATTTCAAGAGAAACTGAAGTCGCCTGCTTTCTTCTCGACAGGTAAGTCAATCTTACAGTCTTAATTACAAACTTTTTTTTTCATTGTTTGGTTGTTTATTTTATGACAGATGAACATTTATAATTAGAAGTTGATATCTTACAATGCACATACTTCAGAAAATATTACGAATAAAGAAGGCATAACTACTTAATGTTTTTCACAGTCAGTATTTCATACAGTAACATTCGTTTGTTCGTTGTGTCCGGTTGCTGTTTGAAATAACAAACCTGTTCACCTGAAGGAACATTAAACGAAGTGCTATTAGAAGACATCCTGACATTCTTTTTGGTACATAATGGCTACCATAGATGCAACAAGCATTTGAAAAAGCTAGGTGCTGGAGAGCACAATTCGTTTGAATGCAAAATACATTTTCACCACTAGATGGGAGAAATTCCTACACATTGTCCCTTTAAATACATATTGTATCGGTTAAAATTATCGATTTTTCTTTTATGCCAAAAATCATTAGGATCATTAAAGATTATGTTCCATGAAGATATTTTGTAAATTTCCTGCCGTAAATATAGCCAATATAACATTTATTTTTGCGAGTGGATGCAGCAAAATCGCGAACATAAATGGACAACTTAAAGGTGATTTTCTCAATGTTTAGTTTGTTTGTACCCTCAGATTCCAGATTTTCAAATAGTTGTCCTATCTTAACAAACCATGCATCAATGGAAATCTTATTTAGTCAGCTTTCAGGTGATGTATAAAACTCAATTTAATCAACAAATTGACCCATGTGGTTTTGTGGTCCAGGGTCACTTGTATTAAATAGTAATTGTACATTTTAAAGTATTTAATAAGGTTTCAGACTGCATGCAATAAAAAATTTTCCGTAGTTTTTAATGTTTTATAGCCGTCACGAAGTGTGACAGTTTAATTAAGTTTATTTATGTATAGACTCTCTGTGACCAATAATGAAACAAAATAAAAAATGTAGAGATTTTTTTTTTATTAGGGATGCTTAAAATTGAACATAAGTGACAGTAAAGACAATTATGATGGTTCAAAAGATTTCTATTTCAGATAAACGCTGTTTTTATCACTCTTCCCACATAAAAAATTTAGCAGCAACTTCAACACTCGACTAATGGTTACTGAAAATTCAACTTTACCATCAGAGGAAAAAGTACCATTTTAAAACACATTAAAATAGAAAACCGTTTAAAATTTAATAATACTTAAAATATTTACAGTAATTTATAAATGCAGAGTTTGTGAGCATAAGTGAATTAATTCAAAAACAGTAAATAAATGAAAATACAGGGGGAATGTGTAATATGTGCAATCTGTATTCAACAATTACTGTTGAGTGTAGCAAATACACAATATATCAATATAATAGATAATAATCTCTTCTTTTGATTGTGGCTTGTTAAATGACATGAGCATGAGTTCACCTAATGATCACGCTGGAAACAATTGATTCATCTAATTACCTCCTCATGTGATAGTTTGGTTGTCAAACATTCGAACTCCCCAGTGATCAGATGCACTCTTCTGTTTCTGTTCTCTTTACTTGGCTGTTGTTCTGTTTCTCTGTCTCTTAATTTAAAAAATGCAGCAGCTGTTTGGCACACAAACAATCTCTCTCTCTCTCTCTCTCGCTCTCTGTGTGTAGCTACCACACATATACAGTACACTCGCATTTCATAAATAATAAAAGAATGAGTGTGTGAGTTGTTTGGTTAAGGTCAGCATCTGACTGTATCAAACGAAACAATTGTTCCATCCTACAAATCTCCCAGTTATTTCCCCTGAACACACAATCCTGCTGTGATGCTTTCTGAATCCTCTTAAAACTCCATTGGGATTCATATGCTGGCCTCTGACCTCCCTCACGACGAAAACATTATTTCTGCTTTGCTTGTATTAATATACTGTATCATTTTATTATTACAGAATCTGAGGAACTATATCAGAATAAAACCTCATGTTTGTTGGATCCAAGGAAGGACTGTAGTGTAGCTTTTTCCTTGAGTGGTATGTTATGAAATATTAAATGGTAAAGCTGGTGTTTTAGGCGCTTTAGCTAAGGCTGCGTTTTATTGCATGATGTGGAAGAAGTGTGCATATCTTAAAGGGATACTCCACTTTTTTTGGAAATAGGTTCATTTTACAACTCCCCCAGAGTTAAACAGTTGAGTTTCACCATTTTCAAATGCATTAAGCCGATTTTCTGATATTTAGAAGAATATCGGTAAACAGACAGTTTCTGGTTTCATTGACTTCCATAGTATATTTTTTTTCCTACTGGTGGTCAATGAGACCAGAAACTGTCTGGTTACTGATATTCTTCTAAATATCATAAAATCGGCTCGGCTGAATGGATTCGAAAACGGTAAAACTCAACTGTTTAACTAAAAAGTGGAGTATCCCTTTAAGTCTGGTCTGTATGTACCTCTGCTTCTGAGGCCCATTGTTCTGTGTTTAGAGTTTTTGGGATTGTTCATGTGTGTTTTATTCCTCTCGCATGGTGCATTTTCAGTCATGTTTTTAATTTTAACAGTACGCCTAACTTTAAATATTTTTGCATCGACAATTTCAATCAGGCCGATTGTGCACGGAATAGATGACTTGTGAAAACAGACCTGACCAGTGAAGGTGACCTTTTTCTCAATTGCGCACACGCTCCATCTTTGTGAAACACTCCATCTTTCTCCTGTGTGTCCAGCCTTTCTTGTTTTTTTTTGTAGTGTGGGTAGTCTGTTGCCTTGGAAACTCCCATCATGACTCCTGTGTCTAGAGAGAGAGTGAAAGCTCTGACCTGTGTTTGGAGCTCTGCCCATCAGGTGGTAGGTAGCAGGAGCACATTTTCTTTTCACCTGTACTCAGACTTGAGTGTTTAATCATGTTGCATTTTGCATTATACAACAGTTCTGGTCCTCAATTCTGATTTGCTTAGCTAGCGGTGTTCCAAGAGCACTTGTATAACAAACCAACAGCACTCAAATGTTTCATTGTTTATATTACTCAGCTGGTCTGTCTATAGGCTATGCTTTCCAGGTCAGTGTTGGTATTGTTAACTAAAACTAGAAATAGTTTTTAATGGAAATAAAGCTGAAATATAATAAAGTATAAGATGGAAAAACAAACTTAAAAGTTGAAGTACTGAAATTACTCAAACTTTAACATTAAGCAAGGCTTAATAAGAATATAGAAATATAAAATCACCTGATTTATCCATGCACAACATTATTTTTTAGATTAATGTGCACACTAGATAGATAGATAGACAGACAGATAACAGCCGCGAGAAATAATTCTGCCTTAACTTGGTTTTGGACAATGTTATATAGACAAACAGTATATACAAATGTGAGTTATTTGAATATGAACTTGTTTATGGAGCTGTTGTGTAAAATTATTATGGTCTGAATATATATGGTTTTTGGAACAGTGCCCCTCTGATTTTGTAAGTATGAAACAAAGTTTAAATTAAGCTAATGTACTATTTCTTGCGTTCTTGATTATTTTTACGTCAGGTGGTAAGCTCCTGTGTGAATTGATAGTCACTTAAGGTTCTGTCCGTTAGAAAGCCCTCCAAAGTGAAGCTGACTGGGTATAGAATGTCTCCAAATCAGACAGTTCTGTCTTCTGAAAGGTTATCGTTTCCCCTGAAGAACTCAAGTAACTCGTCTCGCTGACAGAAAC